TGCTGCACCTGCCACGACATCTGCACATGGAGGTTCACAAAGTGCTGTGCCTGCCACGAAATCTGCACATGGAGGTTCACAAATTGCTGCACCTGCCACGAAATCTGATGAGTGGTGTATGATGAGTGGTGTATGATGAGTGATGTAAATGTTCGTAACACGGAAGTTCCTTCTAAACTTTCTTTGACTACTTCTTCCATGGGACATAGACATCACCACACGATGCTACTGACAAAAACACGACTACTAATCAGAATCAGAACCCTTTCTTCTTACACAGTTTTAATTGGTTGAGCAAGAGCACTTTGCTTGGGAACTTCTCTAGACTCTATGACCTTCCCTGATCCAAGAGGGTTTGAATGCAAAACAAGTTTGGCTCTTGTTTCCAAAGATTGTCCTCATTCCATGTCCCAAGGCAATGTTTAGAAAGAGACAGTAAAAGACAAATTCGGGTTTGTGGTAAGGAGTCGTTTCGAAATTGCCCGACCCTGGCCTTGATGAAGGATTGGAAAAAGTCGCGGAAGTCTTGAAGCTCTTGTGCTTGCAGTGCTCGTGTTGGCCCGCGCCCGCAGGCGGATGCAGTTGTGTCTGCTCGTAGTTTCAGGAACTGCGTACATTTCTTGGCCAAGGGGTGGCTGGGTCGAAAATATCCCCAGAAAAGGTTCATGGCCACAAAGCTGAATGTACTGAGCCCTGCAAAATTGAATAACCCCTCGACAGTGAGATAGAAAGCAGATGCAAACGTGGCACCTGCAAAGGAAAGGAGCCAAACTAAAAGCGGAACCTGACAAGCATGTACGTGGCAAAGCGTATCTGGAAAGCGCACACGCACATCTCCCATGGATGTCTGTGCGTTGGGGTCCAAGTCATCCGTGGGGTGGAAGAGGACCAGCTGATCGCTGCCTTACTCGGAACAATTTCAATTCAAAGCGCGAACTTGCCTCAACCTCCAAGGTCAAGTCATGTCCTCCAAGCGTTCAGATTCTGACATAACACCTAGTGGGGTGCTTGCTTCTTTTTACATGTTTTCTTCCAACGTCTTTAGCTGTTGCCCACTTGCTATCCCAGTTGCCCCAAGCGCCCACTTCATAGAGCCTTTCGGCCTCGTCAAATTGAGGCGCTCCGGTGTTGGCCATGATGATCTTCGGCCGAAGCGTGCGCCATGGTCGCAAGTGGTGTGCCTGCTGCACGGTCAGGATCATCTGACCACTCATCGGTGAGATGTCCACGATGGAGAGATGGTAGTAGAACGTGTACAGCAATAGTTGGTAGAACACCAGCAAGGAGGCAAAGAAGACCTTCAAGCACACCAAGGTACGTTTCTAGAAGATGATAAGAGCCTTCAAGCAGCTGAATTGGAGAAGGAGGAGAGAGACAGAGAGTAAGAAGAAGAGGTCATGAAGTAAACAAGTAAAACCCGGAGAGTTCCCTGCAAGATTGCCCTAAGAAAGGGACCAAAGTGGCTCCAAACGTCTTTTGGTCTTTTCACACAATTGGAGCATATTTTCTACATCAACGCATCACAAAAGAACAGGACAATCCACAAAAAAGGCATCATGGCGTTCCTCTCTCTTGCTTAACATTGAACCCACTAATGTGCATTGCACCATCTTCAACACTTAGTTCAAGCAAGAGACCAGGCCCATGCTCCAACTTCTTGCGCTTGGTTGACATGTCGTGTGCTGCTCGTCAGGAGTAGCTTGAAGGAAAACTCCCTCGCAAGGAGTGCATTGAGCGCTGCCTGGACCAGATATGGTCCCAGCTGGGCATTGATCACACCTGGATCCTCAGCTGGGCGAGACACGGTCCGCTCTCGCAATATGTGACTTTTGGGCGTCCAAACGGCTGGGTTGAACACAGTTGCTCTGTAGAGACCCAACGTGATTGGATAACATGGGGCAACCCAGCCGGCACCGTGTAAGTAGCGACAAAGGACCGATTTCATGTCCGTTCTCTGAGGCCGTCAACAAACAATTACAAAGTCTTATTGTTACTAGTAGTAAGGCACTTGTTTCTACTAGCTTCTTGTTGCTACTAGTAAGGCACCTGTTACTACTAGCGATGCACTTGTTACTACTACCGACAGATTCGCGGAATTTAGCGAACACCAAAGCCTCAAGTGTCTGGACAACAGCAAGCATAGACATCGCCAAGCCCGCTCATTGCTAATGCCAAGGCATTTGTTCAAGGATCTTGCAACCCACATTTTTAGGCCCCGACTCTTCAAGTTGTCAAGGGAATTCCTTTGAAAGCTCTTTTGGCAACAAAAAACATCAGGTTTGAACATTTCTCTCTGGTGGACTGATTTCCACACAAATGGATCAATCTACATCTGAGTTTTCTCACACATCATTTGAGGCGAGTCTCTCCCAACAAGCGAGAAGGAACCTGCTTCGCAGCTTTCACACGTGCTGCTCCCTGGGAGTTGTGAGAAGCGTCCGGGGGTGCAGTCGCTGCATTCCTTGCATTCGTGGGTAGGCAGTCACGTGCTCGACAGTGAAGGGCTAGGCAGCTAGAATAAAGAAAAGGTGTTTGCGTGGCTTGAGGAGCAGATAAACACAAAAAATAATAGGAGGAAGGGAATACAGTCTCAAGGCCGAAACATCCTACTGAAGCTTAGTAGCTACTAAGCTACTACCTACTTAGGCACCCCCCAGCCTTCAAACAACTAAAACTAAAAAGAACTTGGAAAAAGTCCAGAGTCCCCGCCCTCATCGGACATGGTGCCTGGTAAGCAGGGCCAACAGGCTGTTGCTTCCTCGTTTGCATAGGTCCCGGCCAGGCAACGCTGACAAGCACCGAGGCCACCGAAGCGGGCCACTGTGCCGGGCGGACACACCTGAAAAGGCTCCAACGAAGGACACGTTCAAATCTAGCTTTGAGCTTTGTTTTGGGGCCCGATTGCACGTAAACGCGCGCACGCAACACTGCTTTGCCCCAGCAGAATTACGTTTTACGTGCATTTTAACCCACGTATGGTGTGGTTTCGTGCAACTCACCCCGTATGGTAAGTCGACTTCACAACATTGTCATCGACATCACAACAGTGTCATGTGCCAACAAACTTGGATGCCGACCGAAAGACTTCTTCGACGTTGCTGTGGACAATCAATGGCTGTTTAGCTGAAGCCATAATGTGCGTGAGACCAAATGGACATGACGGGTCCGTTTACAAGGGATTTTGATCGTTGTTTGCGCGTGTTTACGACCAATCGGTGCGTTGTTTTGTAGGAGCTGTTTCATACAACAAGGGTTCAAGAGAGCTTCTTCTGCCCTCAGGAGGGAGGAGTTTCCTCAAAGAAGCCTCGCTCTACTGCGTCCTTGCATGCATTAAGTTCCTGTCGCTTGCCAACTAATCTTGCTACTGACTGTATTGACAGCAGACCCAGCCCTCAAAAGAGGCAACAACGAGAAACAACATCTATGAATTAACTGACTTATTGTTATTCCGCAACAGGTGCTGATTATTTTTTTGTGCAAACACCAATACAAATCTTTTTAAGCTACTAGTCACAAGTGCATCGCTACTAGTAGCTGCTAATTAATAGCTCCTGGCCTTACTACTAGGAACAAGAAGCTACGAACGGGCTGGGCATACTAAGGCATACTACTAGGAGCAAAGGGCATCGCCCTTTGGCAAACGACATGCTTCTCACGTTGTGCTTGTCTTGATCCCCGAGCCAAACAGTTTTTGACAGCCAGTTGATTCAGAAAACTCTCAAGATATGGAGGAGGAGTCACATATATTCAATATTCACATCCCAAATTATCTAGGAATTTCTTTGGAGTCTCAGCAACAGCTCCCAGTGCGGAAGACGCAAGCGCGAATGCAACACCTAGTAACTCTACCATTTCCTCTAGTATCCAAGAAAATGGTCATCATATTGTGTCTCTGCCTGTCAGAAACGCGGTAACTATACCTCGGAGCCAAAACACAAACGCCTTAAAATCAGCAAGGATTCGTGTAGTCAAGCACAGCTTGCGCAGGAATTTTGGACCAGCACACCTTCCTTGAACAATAATCCAAGCCATAACAGGTAGCAAATAGCTACTAGAATATCAAGGACATTGCTAGTAGCAAGAAGCTACAAAACAACTTTGCTGCAATCAAAGCGGATTCTGAGCATCAGCTCGCATGGAATCTACCAGTCTCCAACCCCCCCGTGGGTATGCTTCAACGACCTTTCTTTGGAACAACTAGGAGCAAGGACGCTACTAGGAGCAAAGGGCATCGCTACTAGTAAGAAGAACGCTACCGATACGATTTCAAAAGGCAGTGGAAGTGCAACAATGTGCACCTCAGAGACTCCACCTCGTTGGGTCAGTGAACAAATGTACCAAGATTCTCGCACTGCCTTTCTTAGGGTGAAAGGGGCCCTTGCACCCTTCGCAAGCTGCCATTTCGCCAATCGCCAACTATATCACCTGATCAACCCAGAACCCGACTTCATACTAAGACCTCAGCGTCTCATACATCTTCTAGTATCACCGTTTCCACCAATTGGGCACCATGTTTTGCTTCTGCTGTTTCAACCTAAGGTTTGCAGTCAGGGCTTTTCGTCCACTTCGACGACATGGGTTAGTTTGCACCAACAGGGGTGCTGCGGCAGCGGCCCAGCTACCTTCGTCATGACAAACCTTTGTGTCTCCTGTCAGTGTCAGTGTAGTTCTTCTATTTACTAAAATCTCTGGGATTCCTGTACACCAAAAGCTATCAGTCTCGACAAAAGCGCTACGCCTTGAAGGCTTCCCCGTAGGACACCGCGTTGAGCGACCAAATATTCGTTCCAACGAAGTCCACAGAAAGGTCTTCACTACTCCTTTCACTTAGTAGCTGTTTGTCTTTAGAGCAGGCAGGCTGCAAGGGTAGGGTAGGGAGCTAGTAGTAAGCTGAATGGCTAGGAACCAGCAGCAAGGACGCAAACAAATTCTTGGTCCAAAAATCATTGCAAAGCATCTCTGCGTTTGTCATCTTTTTTGGCCAGTTCCCACCTTGCATTCATCGCTGCCCGCAGCAGCTGCTCGCCCTGGTGCGCAGAGCTCACAGGTGCTGCTGTTCCATGAGGAGGCTCGGCCGGCTGGACAAACTTCGCAGTGATGAGTCTGATCCTTAGCTCGAGGCCATGTCTTTTCTTACTGTCCCTGGCTTTGCTAATGAAGAACGGTTTAAAGAAAGAACGAGTGAACAACTAGCACTGACAAGTGTGAAAGCAAAAGAAACAAACAGCAAAAGGAACAACGCTTTTTGCTAAAATGAATGTGCTTTCAAGGCACTAGTAACAAGTGCCACGCTAGTAGTAACAAGTGCCACGCTAGTAGCAACAAGTGCCTTAGTAGTAGTAAGAAAAAGCTATTTAATTAAATTGGCCCCTAGGTCGACTTCACCTCTCAAACCTTTGTGGTCCGGTCTTGGTCGAACATGTGGGTCTAAAGCTGATCAACTGCACTAGCATCCAATCGCTCCTAGTAGCGATGCCAGGAGCCCCGTTCGTAGCTTTCTTGTTACTACTAGTAAGGCACTTGTTACTAGAAGCGATGCACTTGTTCCTAGTAGCTTTCTAGTTCCATCAACTCAGCGTTTTGGTGAAACGACTTCCTAGCGTCGTTTTCGTCGAAGACTTCCTCTGAACCTCCGGGACATAATCCAGCACCACAGGTCAATCGGCCCGCGGAATCGGAGCCACCGAAGAAGCGTTCGGTGCAGCTGCAATTTCCATCACCTTTGAGAAAGGCCGAATAAACAGAACAAGAAGCTATATAGGAACAAGAAGCTACTAGGGGCTCGTGGCCTTACTAGGAGCAAAGGACGCTACTAGGGGCTCCTGGCCTTACCACTACAAGCAAGTAGCTGAAGTTCATCATTTCTGGCTTGGGACACCCAACCCTCTTGAGGAATTCAACGCCAATCGACGACGTACCCCAAAATTTGAGGGTCTGTCGAGAGTGCTGCTGCTTTGAGAGTACAAGTAACTGAAACAATGCAAAGGCGGTGTGAAATCTTCATCAAGAGCTGCTTTGATTGAAGTCAATCTGAGAAGATCTATTCTCAAGCCAAACATGAATCTGATTCATCATGATTCATCACTGCAGGGCTGTGTGAGTCATGCTATGTCTAGATATGCGGGGGTGATGTTGTTCGTAACGAGTGGAGCTTTCCAAGGATTGAGATGGCACTTGGATGCACGCGGCATGACCAGGTCCAGAACCTTTGGTTGTGATTTCATCGGTATCTGGAACAATTAGCACAACAAGTCTTCCAGAAGAAGGCCTTCACAAGACTTTTCGGGTGGACATATCTGGTGGATCGCTGTAAGAGATCTGTTCCACTTGGTGCAACCGAAGAAGAGACCCCAGGCAGTCACTGGTTTTTACATGCTACCAGAATCGACCCTATATTTCGCTCACCTTCTCAAGCTCCAAATCCGGTCTGATGTGGTCACGACCCTTCCGGAGGAAGATTCGCAAGCTCCCTCCCGCGTGGAATGCATCATCAACCCCTCCAAACAGGTGCACAAAACTCCAGGCACAAACTCCACAAAAAAGAAGCAGTCAAAATTGATATTCCCCCTGGGAAAAACACGTTCACTCGCAAAGGACGGCAAACATGCTGGCTCACGAAAGGAGCTGAGCTCACTGATGCAAAACAGCGTTGCTAGCCAGCTAAACCTGAGCTCGTTTCTTTTCCATATACACCTGGAGTGTAAGGAGGGTTTGGGGCTGGGCTTGTACCCAATGATCAATGTATCTAGCTAAGTCGCCAGTTGCCAGTTGGATGGAGGTGTTGGACAGCTTGGTTTCTTTTGCCTTGTGCTTGGCCAATGCGTCGTCCAAGCAGTGACCTTTGCTGAAGCAAGGACGACCATCTTCTTCGCCCGCGCATGGCAAGCAACTGTGGCTTGTGACGAAAAACTCATCCTCAGCTGATCGGCGCAAAAGCTGAACCCAGCTCCGCCTGTGATCCAAACAAACCCACCAACCCGACAACACTCCATAATGGGTCTCTCCCGATGCGGGAACTCAATGATCTCTTGCGATATGTGGGGGTATGTGGGGTTGGAGGCTCAAACAATATCGTAGGGCAAATCCGGGATTCTGGTGTGTAGTATCCCTCACTGCAAGCGGAACAATCGCTCATGTGATGCCCTTGAATGCAATCACATCTACCTTCTGCATGGCGACACGTGCCTTTCCCGCTGCATGCCAGAGCTGGCCAGCAAAAACCACTCATCCAAAAACGCACGTCACGTTCACCCAGCACATGCATCACATCTAGAAGACCATCTCTGTTCCAGTCGGCGATGTCTAACCAGCCAGTCTTATCTGCAGCAGTCTCTGCAAGAAAAGATGTTGGTTCGCCATCAAGACATTTGAAATCTGCAGAGCAAGTGAAGTTCATGCCCTTCTCCGAGTTCTGCTTGCAATTCCTGATCGGAGGATTTGGAGTGGAGGCACTCGGGATGACCAAGCTGGAATCCGTTTTGTCCCTGACCTGTGATGCGCTGACCTTTACTAAGGTCCCCTTGAAGTTTATATCCATGCACAACAGGCTAGTTCTGAATCCTCGTCACTGAAGCGATGCTGAAACTTGTGATGGTCAACGAACGGAATGGAGGGTTGGAATAAACAAAGTCTCAATTCCGGAACTTGCAATTAGGAAGGACACCAAAATGTATCTGCTGGATAGCCAAGGGTCTTGAAAGCGTTTGCAAATCCTTGGATGACACCGTTGACTTGTCAAGGCACTCGCTATCAATGTCACTAATGGTTGCAAGAAAATCAAAACAACGGCCCAAGTATTGTTCAAAGGCATTCAACCAGGAGCGCTGTACGAGAACACCAGCAACAAACATGCATTCGGCCAGGAGACCCTCCTGTGATGCATCTGCATGGATTCGAAGTAGGTCCAGAACTCCATCTCTATCGCAGTCGATGGCTTTCCACGCTAGAAATTTCCAGCCGAAGGAAGCCAACTCGACTTGCCTCACGTCATTGCCAAAGCATCGGTCCGGTGTTCTTCGTCAAACCTTCTAAAACAACCTTTGCTTTTCTAGTGACCAATCTACTTTCTCTGGTAGGAATACCTTCTTCTGCCTGGAATTCTGCATCTGTGTCATGTTTGATTAAAGGCCAAAGAAAAGGTCACGTATGTCACTTCCACCTTCAAATGCTTTGCGTTCTGCCGAGGAATTGCCAACCAAATTGGAGCCATGTTTTGGGCAAAAAACACGTTGTTGGTCTGTTTTGGTGCCTGGCCTTTGCATTTTGGACGTGGAGCACGGGGCTTGTCGAGCAATATGCCGAGGGCAAGCTGCCAAAGAAAACGGCGAACCCGTTTTTGATGACCACGGGTTGGTTACAAGTACTGGGGGGGATGCCTTTGGTATGAACTTCCTACAATGGGTTTTCATGAAACATCACCATGCACTTCAAGGCACACAGCATCGTAGGGGTGATGGACTTCACTACCCCTCACCAGTTCTTGCCTCTTTCAACAAGGACCATCAGTTCTCGCTCGGTTGGATCTGAGTTGCTCTTTGGGCGTCACTGCGTTGGCGAAGGGGCTCCTTGGCGTGAGCGGCAAACCAAGCTGCCGGTACTTCTTGGGACTGTAGGCCTTTACAGCAAACAATGCTTTTTGAAAGAGGTGAAGTGAAGGAAGAGAAGGAAGAACGGTCTAAAAACAACTAAACTAGGGTGGAGGCCATCGCTCTTCTTAGATTCCTTATGCTAGGTTGGAGGCAAGTCAGTGAACCGTTTGGACCTTGCAACGGATTTTTCAATTAAACTCCCCCCAGCCCTCTTTCTCACGACTTGCTGCTAGTAACTACCTTGTGTTTGCTTTTGGCAAACAAAGAGCTACTTCATCTATCTTCATGCTGCTTTCCTTGACCTACATGTTAGGGACCCAGGGAAGAGAGCCTTGTAAAGGGTCGATGACCGGAACGCAGCACTGTGGCAAGGCCTTCAAAAGAGCTCTTGTTAAGCAGGGGAATTGGTAGGGAGTTGTCAAGTCAGCACCCAATGAAGCTCTTGAACTGCGCCTTGATGTGCATATCTTTTGGGAACAGAATTCAACTGAGGGCTAGTTACTAGTTATTGCTTGACACCAAGACAAGAACGTATTAAGCTTCCCTAAATTCCGCCTAAATGTATGGTTGTCTACTAAGGGTTCGATGCATGGTTGTTGTTTAGTTTCTTAAACTTTGTACTTGCCTTTCAACTCAGCTGCTGTGGGTTGAGTCTTGAAAACGAACAATGGCCGTCGCACAATGACAAATTGACAACTATTCTATTTGCTGGATTTTCTGAACCAACCTTCTGCTCACTCGAACTGTGATCTGTTGGCCTTTGTTGTTGCTTATCATTCTCTGTCTGAGGCAGTCCAACTTCATTTATTGAAATGCGTTTGGTTGAGTGCCTTCTACGCATCTTGTGCTTTTTAGCCAATGGGGATTCTGAATCACCAATTGACAAGGCGCTGCGGAACTTCCACTAAGCTGCCATCTGCTAGTCGCTCAAAATATATCCCTGCAGGCGCCAAAAGAAGGTCCAAATCCCCATCACCGTCCCAATCTGCCACGACTGGCTGAAGACAATGAACCCGCACGTTGTAAAGATAGCCTGTAGCTTGGGCATCATGGCATGGTTTGTCTGCCAAAATGTATTGGACGAATCATTAAACAACCATCCTCAGCTGTGTTTTGAACTTACCAGAGTCTTGATTGGGCACAGTGGTCCGTCCATTTCCCTGTGAACCAGAAGCCAATTTCAGAAGCCAAGTCGCTAGAATATTCCCATGGTGGAGTGGCATTGATTTGAAGCAAGGAATGGTCCATCAACTCCACCAGACTTCCCGCAGACCGCTCGAAATACCTGATGTGCCCTTGGCTGGTGGTCATCAAGAGATCTAAATCTCCATCCAAGTCCCAATCCACCACCGCCAACCTGCCAGGTGCAAGCAAGCGGTGTCAACAGGTGTCAACAGGTGTCAACCGTTTTCGGCTCTTGTTCCCCACATCTGTGTTTGGGCTCTTGTGTTTCTTGTGGTATCCCCGGTGCATTGCGCCATGGAGCGTGTTCACTGTTGGAATTCCATGGCATACTGTCCAAGATCTTCGCACCATTTAGGCACCCCTTACTAGTTATAACGGTCTTCTTCAGCCGTGTCTCTTTTTCACTCTCTCTCTCTCTCTTGAGGTGAGCACTGGACTGTTGAGGTGACCTCAGACACCCTGGCCTCAAAGGCCAACTGAAGCGCTTCTTCAAGGGGCGATTCACTCACTGACCGACTCACTGACTAGCTGACGGACTCACCCACTCACTCACTCACTCACGCAGCACACACACACACACTCATTTCACCTCACTTCACCTCGCTTCACTCGCTGACTCTCTTCACCTCACTTCTCTGATCTCTTTCTCACTTTCGCATCGAAACGCTTTCACGCGGGGTCGTCATGCCCCGATTGAAGATTGACCAGGAGGTATCCACTGGACCAAGAATGAGAGGTAGTCGCTCTTAAGAGCTTGGTTTCTCTGTCAAATCAGGAGTGTTACCTAACACTCCACCAGCTTGTTGAAGGAGACTCTTCCAGGTTCACGGCTGTGGTTTATGGTGGCCTTTTCTTCTGAATCTCACCTTCCCATCCTCACATCCTTGGTTTCCCCAAGAGACCTGTAGTGGTCAAGGTCGCCCACAGTGACGTTGCCAAGTCCGGGATCCAAAACTTCATTCAATTCACCGTTGCGCCGTTCGAAGTATTGGATTTGCTGGTGGCCAGCCACGATGAGGTCCATCTCACCATCTGAGTTCCAATCGACGAAATGGGGCTCCTCGGATTTCATTTCGGACAATTGGTCTTCCAAAACGCTACCACTTACTTGCATGCTCCCTTCGGGGCTTCTTGACTACTCCTTACTTGTCCTTGCAAAAACCCTTTCTAAGCACACAAACGGTTCAATTTGGATGGTGGATAGAACAGCAGTAGACTTTGAAAATTCCTGAGTATTTTGTGATCGTTTGAAGGCTCAAAATGGATTCCTTTCACTGTATAGCATGTTCCGCATTTTACAACATGTTGGAGTTCTTGAGATCAACAAGCCACAAAGTCACAGAGTCCCATTCCCGTTCTCGTTCAGCCTCCGCTCCCAAAACTTCTGCTAAAGCTCACCTTTTGTGACTTTGAGCTCGATAAAGGGCTTGTCTCGGCCAACACGTTCCACCAAGGATTGATCTACACTGCGGTTGTAAAGCCAGCGATCCACCCACAAGTCCTTGGGAAGGTCAAACCTGGGCCTACAAGTCCTTGGTTCATAGGACAACAAGTTTTGCAAGTTGTTTTGTGGGGCGAAGGAGAGCTAGGGCCAACAAAGTATCAATCGGCTGGGGACGGCTCTTTAAGCAATAACATTCTAACAAACCTAACAAACAGCCAAAGAACTAAGAGACCATCTCCATTCCAATCAACGACTTGCAGTGTCTCACCAAATCCCTTGGCAAGTACATGCTGATGCTTCAGCAATGTTCCGTCATTCAAACGTTCTACGAACACCACTGGTCTCTGGTGAAGACAGCCGTATCCACTGCATCGCTTCCGATGGTAGAGGACAAGCACGTCGAGGTCCCCGTCACCATCCCAATCAACCACGTGCATCAATTTCGGAGTCTTGCCTAGTTCTTTGAAGAGATGATCAAATGGGCCTTTTTCGCTTTCGCCGCCTTTCGCCCCTTTGGACAAGCTCACCATGCGCATGCTCAAGGTAGATTGCAAAGGAATAACCTCCAAGCAGCACATCTAAATCCCCATCTCCATCCCAATCGATCGCTTGAAAGAAATCAACTTTGACCTCAGACTCGTAGGTGTGAGGTGGAACACGAATCGACAACAAGGCAATTGGTGGCTCAAAGCTTCCATCAGCCAAGCGCCTTGACATCCAAACTTGAAAGCCCGCTTGATCAAAGAACAGCAAATCATGAATGCCGTCACCATCCCAGTCTGCGACATCAAGTTGGCTTGCTTCCGTCACATTCTGAGGGAGACGGAAGTTGGTGAGATTGTGTAGATAGAACTCCTCTCCAACACGTTCATAAAAGAGCAGATCCTTCTTGTCGATTGCTACAGCATCCGCATCATCATCATTGTCCCAATCGATAAGCCGTGCCTGGAGATGGGTCTCCTCCCATGGGTAACCTCTGTCACCTCTTGGCTCACTACCTTTGAGGTGGTGCTTTTGCCCATGACAGCTGCCCGGAAGTGTGAGACACCGTGATGTCTCTCTAGCACCCAAGGCAACCTTAGGCACGTGGAGCACTTGCTCAGCGACATTTATGTCCAGGTGCTCTTCTTTCCTCCCACACAAACATAGTAACAAGTGCCTCGCTAGTAGTAACAAGTGCCTTACTAGTAGGAACAAAAAACTATTAGAATTAAATTGAAATTAAAATAACTTATAAGGAATCGCAGTTGATCTGGGGTTGAGTGTTTTTGATTTGGGGTCTGGTCTTTAGGTATTCTTTGGGTCTTCTTCGGGTATTGTTTCCCTTGTTCCCTGGCCCCCTGTACCCCATCTGTCCCCCTGCCGCCACTGGCGGCCCACTGCTGGTGCTGGTGGCATTTGGCTCCTGCAGCAGTGAGGCTTCCCGGCAGAATTGGGTTGGGAACAAGTGGTCGGTTCGGACGGTTCAGATCGGACAGTTAAGTTTAAATGGCTTAATGCCCCCATCCGGGGCTTTTCAAAATGTGCCCACTGCGCTCGTCCAAGGAAGGTTACAGGCAGTGAGCCTGTCCTCTGTACATGGGACATGGAGTCCCTGTATCTTCATGCATGTATGCCCAACAAGTGGTTGGGTGGTAATTAATTGACACAGCACAGCACCACACAGAACACAGATGATTCTGATTCTGGATGCTGGGATCAAGTCTGGTATGTGTTCTGATACATCATCTATCATAAAGGCTGGGAAATGTTCTGGA